ACAACTCATTCAAATTGCTTCTTTATTAGTTTAGTGATGATTTACTAATGAATTAGTGTTTAGTTTCATACAACTTAATCCCCTAATTATGTTACTCTGAGTATTTAAATCATCTACGACCACCATGTGAATTAAACAAATAAACAAACAAGCAAAAATGAGATTTTAATAGTTTTACTCCCTGCCTGAACTGTCCAGCAGAATTCATTTTAGTTAAAGAGAAAATGAAATGTGTCGCAGAGTAAACAGAAATGTGTTTGCAGTAAATAACCCGAGCCAGTGGGACCGGCTGAGTGAAAACCATCCAGGCTCCTCTGTGTGTGTGTGTGTGTGTGCGTGCGTGTGTGCGTGCGTGCGTGCGTGCGTGTCTAAATAATTAAGACAATGAGACGAAGGCTGTCATTAGTTGACGGTGTGGATGTCAAACATATTCCATAGCAAATATGACTTTCTCTTAAACTGCACCTCGTATGTTTGAATCACAGTTGAATTTAATAATGTATTACAAATCAGAAAAGAAAAGAACTGTTTAAATTATTTTCATTATTCATTAATTTTCTAATTTTGTCTATAAAATGTCATAGAGCTCTAGAAAACATATTCAACTTGTTTTTTTGTTGAAAGAAAATGGCAAAATAAAAATGTATTCATCTTAACCTCTTAAGCACGGCGGTCCCCCCATTGGACCCCTCCCACCGTTTTTTTTTCGAGACAATGTCTCAGGGCTTCTTAACATTTATGAAACTATTAATGTGTAGCACCAGATTAACGGGAAGAATCTCAGCTAACTGAAGATATGAACCATTTTTACCAAAACAAATCACAAGTCTCATAAGAAGCGTCTAAATGACCCCTGAGCGAAAAAATTCGAACGCACTGCGGCACACAATTCAAGAGAAAGATACCCTTATTACTTATCGTAGCTGCACATACAATATAGCCGATTAAAGCTGAGACTCCACTGATTATTTAGGTATAGTATCATCACTGAGCGATCCGAATTTGCGACAGGGGAAGCAAACACAGACATCACAACACGTACCTTTACGGAGCATTTACGGCAGATCGTCTCACCGTAGCTGTCAATTAGGTCAAAAGACGTGTTCAATGGCATTAAAACGAAAAAAAAAAATGCTACAACTGTTGATCCATAGGTTGATAATGTACCTGTGTCTTTTAAAAAATTATTTATAATCCATAAATCCATTTTTATGTAAAAATCGGAGCGGAAAAGTTAGCTGCTAATGGTAGCCACCAGAGTGTATGCAGCTTCCGGTTTTGGTAACGCGTCACTCTCACTCCTTATTTGTTAACGTTTTGGTGTGTATATAACTTTCCCTCGATTCCATTGGCTCTAGCGGTTATAAAGAGATTTCATTCATCAAAATCGACCAAGGGGGGCCAGAGATAGGTCAAATCCACCCAAATGACCCCAGAAGTGGGTTTTTTTGGCTAAATCTCTCTTAAAAAGGTCAAATTTCACTTGTTTTGCATCAATCTTGATACAGGGTACTTATTATATGTTGTACTTTGGATTCCTAAAGCTTTTAGTCTACTAACCCATCATCCAAGGGTAGTTTTCACTATAAGTACAAAAGACATTTTGGACGGACACTATAATTTACAGTTTTTTACTATGTAAAATCTGAATTTTCTTTAAAATAAAAAACATCTATATTGATTCTGACTTTTCTACATCCAACTCACAGGTTTATCATTACTTTGAGAAAAAAGATTATTAATTTAACCCTTTTAGAAGGGAAGATATGGTCATTTGTTCTGGGAATGTCATTTTCGAGCCTGAGACCTGAAAAACAGGCTCAGGGCTTAAGAGGTTAATATAATATATGACAAAGAAGAACTTAAAATCCTCCCATTTGAGAAGCTGGAGGCAGCAAATATTTTCTTATTTGATTGATATTGATTTGATTTAAAAATGACTGGAATCCATTACAATCTGCAGCTCATTCTCTAATAGGTAAAAATCTGTCAGTCAGCGTCATTCATGTTCCCTGTTTTTCATCTCTGAACTAAATGATCACATCTCCATGATAGAGGCTGAATTTAGCTGGAAAGTCCAAACGGGCTGTAATTAATATGACTTTTCATTGTTGACTTATCTGCTTTAGTTTTAGTATGGAGTGTTCTTTAATTATTTAGTATATCAATTATCAATGGTGACACTTTTAGTTGTTGTCTTTGTTTAAACAGTACTTTACAAATGGCTCCAATTCAAAGGGATTGTTGTCGTATTCCAGCACCCCTTTTATATGCATCCACTCGCATCCACTGTGGCAACCCTCGCTGTTCTTATTTGAGAGAAGATGATAATGTTATTTTTTTCCATTTGTACTTGATAAATGACTTAGACAACTCATTCAAATTGCTTCTTTATTGGTTTAGTGATGATTTACTAATGAATTAGTGTTTAGTTTCATACAACTTAATCCCCTAATTATGTTACTCTGAGTATTTAAATCATCTACGACCACCATGTGAATTAAACAAATAAACAAACAAGCAAAAATGAGATTTTAATAGTTTTACTCCCTGCCTGAACTGTCCAGCAGAATTCATTTTAGTTAAAGAGAAAATGAAATGTGTCGCAGAGTAAACAGAAATGTGTTTGCAGTAAATAACCCGAGCCAGTGGGACCGGCTGAGTGAAGACCATCCAGGCTCCTCAGTGTGTGTGTGTGTGTGTGTTTATCTGTTGGTTTATGTGTCAGTTACAGGCAGGACCCCTGCTGAGAGCAAAGATGTTGTCAACGAGGCTCCGCAGATAATGTATTGCAGCGGGTGTCATTGAATGTGTCCCTTTGAGAATACACATAAAACACACAAACACACAAATGTCAAGGGACAGAGACAGGTGTGAGGCCCGGAAAACTAATAAAACACAGCAGTGAACATATGTGAGCATGCTATCCACACGCATACATTCATACAGCACGGTACACGTTGGCATTTCACACACAGTGGGTAGGAGGGATACATAATCCTGCACATACACACCTTTTCTATACACGGGCTGTACACAGGCAAAATGTGTCTGATAAGAAAGGTCATTTTTGTTATTTGAAAGCACAAAAAACACCACAGGCTCCACTTTTAGAGCTTCACTAGAAAAGGAAAGGAGGCTCTGGACACCTCACTCAGCCAGTCATAATTCCCGAACAAATCACACTGCTCTTTTCCCTCCATGTCATTTTAAATAGTGGATTAAGTGCACACAAAAAAGCTGAATTTTTTTAAGGGTCGGTCATCTGTGTTTGCTGCGAGAGCTTGTGTGTGGGTGTGTGTATGTGTGTGTGTTTCCTTATCTCATCTGAACCATCCACCTCTCTCACACAGCTCCCGCTCGCTTTTATACTCTCCAAGCCGAGAGGTCGGCTCAGGGCCCTGAAATTGGGTCATCTGGGGTTGAAAAAAAAGTAAAAAGCTGGATTGTGGCTGCAGCGCTGCCTGGACCACGCTCAGGTGGAGGAGGGAAGCCATTGATGGCGCTGAGGAGAGTGATGAGTGGAAAGGTCAGGACAGAACAGCACAGCCCCGTTGCTGGGGGAGATATTTTTGGACAGCACGTCTGGGTCGCAGTGCCAGACTGTCAGCCTCCGCTCTCTTTGGTTACAGGGGCCGCGGCGAAAGAAGAGGCCGGAGAGCCTCAAGGTCACGGCCCTGCACCTCTTCTGCTGACAGAAAGAGGGACGGAGAGAGGGATGGGGGGTGAAAAGGTCACAAGAAGCTGGACCCCATGCTGCTGTTCCATGTCTAAATAAAACCCACTCTGTTCTTGTTGAGCAAAGGCGTGGGGGCTCACATGATCCTCCGTGCAGGGAGGCTTTCGGGGTCAAGATGAGAGTGTGTACCCAGAAGCCCTTCCATTTTTGGAGGCGAGTGACAGTTCAGGAGTGTCACCTGTCCGCTGAGGCCCCTCTGGTGTGAAATGTGATATCACTCAGAGGCTGACCCAGATAGCCTGAGAGCTCCTCGAGTAATAATATCATGTGGACAGGAAGTTGTATTACCATTGAATCAAGAGCAATTAAATTCAATGGTTCTAATTAGTTCCACTTGATTTAGCTCAATTATTTGTTTATTATATCCTACTTTCATTGATTCTCAGATAATTAATTGTTAATTAAACAGACTATCAGGTTGAAAGTGCTCCTTTGTTTTTGTAAAAAAAAACTGTTGCTTATACGCTGCACATTTTGCAAAGAATATTAATAAATAATTTAAATTGATATAAATTGTATTGGCTAAATGTATAGGCTATTATAGTATGTCCTGATTTTCATAATAAATGATAATTTATAAAATTAGCTTTATATTCCTATCATTCAAATGAAAGGCAAAAGTGATGATTCTCCTTAATGTTTACAAAATTAGACTCAAGTCTTATGACATACTATAGCTTTCAGTGCTGAAAAAATATTATTTTAAATCGAATCAATTCATGAACTGAAAATGAAGCGTCAAATGAAATCATGGATTTGGAGAATTTAGCACCATTACCAATTACCTTGAATGTGAGTCTGTGCTGCATTGATTTCTCTCATGACCTTTAAAGCAGTTTTATGTTTTGATCACCACAACATACCCGTTTCTATTCCAGTAGGGACCGTTGTTGCATCATGAAAATAGAGAGCAACCAAGTTGTTCATTCGAAACTCTCTGCAGGTTAAAAATAATTTTAGGTACAAATAATGTCTACTTGAAGAAAACAAATGACAAAAAGAGAAAATGTGTGTGTTTAAACTTTTTATTGCTATGTAAAATAAAAAATCTCACCTTCAATGAAAAAAATACTTAATATCTTAACACAAATGAAATCAGGCAAAAAAAGACATTTGGCATTGTGATGTTCAGAGTATTGGGGGGGGGTTAAGTAGATTTAGCGTAGCATTGCTGCTACACTTGTTAGTCAGGCTTAGAGAATGCACCGTGTGCTGAAACACTGCCGTCTTTAAATGTCTAGTATTATCAAAGGGGGGGGGGGGGGGGGGGTAGTACACAGAGCCAAGTAAACTACAAATCATATAACACTGCGTTTCTCCCTATTGACATTAAATACTGTACTTAACTGAGGTCCTACAGTAGTTTTATGATATATTAACATTAAATAAAACCCAACTGAACACATGAAGTAGATGTGTTATTATTGGCACATCCACAATCTCCCTGGCACTTGTACCTAGAGTGCGGTGAAAAAGAAAAAAAGGCTGCGGCTGCTTGTCCCAGGCAAATCACCGTGGTTACAGTACATAACATTTGGGCCTATTAGCCATTCAACGTGCCGCACAATCTGCAAGTGATGCAACAAATCCTCATTATCTTCTACACATCTGTACTCCAGACTACAAATCTAAAAGACTCTCCTTCTGAGTGAGGGCGATACAAAGACATCATAATTAATAATGACAACACAAAACTTCAAGTATATTCCAAACGCAGCTCTTCTAACCACTAAATCCGGGCGAGGGACTAAATTCTAAACATGCAAACACTACTGAAATGTGCACCAACTTCTTCTTTCTGTAACATACTGCAAAGTGCATATTAGGAACTGGGTGCTCTCTTAACATTTGAGTTTGGCTCTTTTGCGCTGTGGCCGCTGTCAGCTCTCTCTCTACGAGGCAAAGAGGCTTGGCTTTAAAACTACATTGACATTCTTAACATTGCGTTGCTTTACAGTGCTGCCCTTAATATCACACAGGTAAAACATGAAGCGTTAGCATTCAGAAGCTACACAGTTCCCTGGGCACCACCTCCACTGTAAAAACTGAAACATAAAGTGACTGTTGAAACATAAAGCCTCTGATATAAGTTATTAAATAAATAAAAATTCTGACATATAATAACTAATTACAGCCAGCAAAAATAAGCTTTTTAATTTTTTTTAGATCCACTTTATCAAAAAAGGGATAGTTTTGTTTATCATTCCATATGCATTATGCGTCAGCATTCACTGCATTCATGGAATACCTTACAAAATACATAATCCTTGCATTGTTTAGTAGTTGTAATCCTTTTCTTTTACAGTACCATGACTTGTAACTGTACATTGAGTAAGTATAATACAGCAATTACAATGAGATAAGAGGGGAAACCCATTGTCTGGTGTAACTGGGGTCAGGGGTGCGGGTGGTCTGCTGGTCTAGGTCTAAACTGAACGAGGCCCTTAAGAAATCCCATATCATCCGGACTTTCCTTGTTTATCTTTCAAGGATTTAGGCCCAGGTTGTGGCGCCGGACTTGCTGAGATCAGAGTGGTTGGGTGAGAGTCAGGGGAGAGGGATTGAGGTCAAAAAGCGAGGTGTTGAAAGCCAGAGTTGCCATGGTGACTTCAGAAGTGGCCCATCCTGGCGGCGAAAAGGCTGCGTGAGCGTAGCCTGGCCGAGGAGATGCGGCCAAAGTTGGACGAAGGCCACTTCATGATGAACTGAGAGGTCACTGGCAGCAGATACCTGGACAGACGGGCAGAAAGCAGGGATTGTGGGATTAAGGGAAAGGATGAACATAATGAGAGGATCAGATATGCAAAGTTCATTATTTAGAGGTCAGGGCTCCTTGGTGTTCGGCACCACATATTGCACACCTTTCATATATTGATTCTACAGTTTTATGGCCGTCTTTGTTTGCACTTTTACACTTTATAATGACCTGGTGATTTCAAGATATTAAAACCTCACCCTCCCAAAGAATAAACCTGTGAGATACATATGATTTGGGGTTGTGTGGGGCTGCCTCTACAGCCAATTTAAGATTAAGATGTATTGTTTACCACACACACAGATTTGTCTTGTTTTGTCTGACCAACAGTCCAAAACCAAAATATATATTCACTGTAATACAATGTATGGTAAAGAAAAGCCTAAAATTCTCATATATATGAAGCTGAAAACAGCAATTCATTGTTTTTTTGGTTCGAAAGAATTATCAGTGATTATCATCAACCATTTTTACTACCCCATCATCACAATACTTGATGAAAAATACGATGCATTTGATTGAATAATTGATAAATCATTACAGCTTTAATTGTATGGAATGTACCAAATCTAAAATTATATTTACACCGTACTCTCAGTTACAATCGTTCTTAATTAGGTTGTATGCAGTATTAATGTAGGTGCTTGTAGAATGATACATTATTGACCATATACAGGCAGAAGCAGATCTATTTTCTTCTTTCAGGACAACGGTATTTTTCAACTTCGACCCTTTTAAAAAAAAAAAATCTTTGGTATCATGAACATAAAATCCTCACCTATCATTCCGTGGTATAGGCTTCAGTATCTTTCTAAGACTTTTCTATGACACCTTCCACCGAGACAGAGCAGTGAGGCAGCTCCTGCTAACAGCGTTCCAGTACCTGAGAATGAGACCAGCGTCAGGTTGAGATGAGTGAGGAGGGGCTGAACCCTGCTCCCATGATCCTTAGCTACTGGAAATGAGTCAGATATGGTTGTCAGAGCAATGTCAGATGATATGATCAAATCCTGGACAAGGTTAACTGAAGGTTACGCAAATGTTGGGTTACTGTTCAGAAACATGAGACAAGGGAAAGTTCTTCCAGACTCATCAGTTGGAAGAGTGACTTACATTCTTTTGCGGCAATCATATTGGGATGGCGTACATTATGTGACCTTATTGCCGCAAATGCAGCAAGGATCTTTAGCTAATAAAAAATACATCTAATACTCCTTTAGTTAAATGAGTACAACGGACCAAAGAAATAGTCCCTGTGGAAATGTTAAAGATGTGACAATCTAATCAAAAGGGAGCCACTGGGGCCGAGGATTACAGAATGAAGAAATAATATCTTCTTTTAAACTGGTGCGGAGATAGCATACTTTTCTCTGACAGCTCTCTCTCTCTCCTTGTGAAATAGCTCTTGAACAAATTAGCCGAGCAGTTTCTTCTAAAGTCGACCGGAAAGAGAAAGAAAAAAAAGCCCATGTCGCTAAGGGCGTCCGCTTCCACACAGTCCCAGACTCAGGAGAGTTAGAAGGCTTTTAAATTAACTTCATTTAGTTCAACAAGAGTGTCCTTGAAGCAGCTTCAAGTGGGCCGTAGGAATCCCTCCAGCACATCTTCTTCTTCTCTGACTGGACTCGAACAAGGGCTCAGAACAAGGTCCGCCACTACTTCTTAAACTCCCACACTCAAACCCAAGAGAGCAGGCGGGCAGGATTGCTGTAAGCCATTTACTGATTCCATGATTATGTGTCACCTTTTGGATTAATTTCTTCTACATTTTTCATGTTTCCCTTCCCCACCACCTATGAGATTCCACGTGTTCATCCATTGGGATTCTGTTCATGGATATGTGGTGTGATTTTTTTTCCCTTTATTTCCATAAGGCCTTTACTAGAAAAATACCAAGCCCAGGTATGGAAATGCCATTAAAATAAAAGACTATCAAATATTGAACATTCATCGAGGGCCCGAGTGTGTGTTCTTCAGAGATCCTCTGCTATTCACTTTGAGAATATTCTGCTCATAGATAGCATCGCGTTGCTGGTAGTGGCGGGGGGTTGGGTAGGAGGGCTTCTCACGTCCAAGCGGCTGCTGTCTCTGCAGGCTATATTTAATTGGACTCTCATTCCGGTATCTTCCAGGTCCGTCCTCCTTTTGATCATCAAGAAGGTATTGGCAACAACGTGCATGCTTGAAAGCCAGAGGGAGGCTTGTTCATGCACTTGTGCTTTGCTTCAATCAATCAGTTGACAGGGAGACAGAAAGATGCTCCCCTGCTCCGCTCCTTACATGCAAAGCTACAATCTACCACTGTTTGTACTGACAGGCCTTCCATGCCACTCCTGAGCGCTCCATCGATATGCAACTGCCACAGCAAATTAAGAGGAGGACGGACAGAAAGCAATACCATGACTTAGGATGGAGAGGATGACTGCCGAAGCAGCTGACGCAATCGTAAACCAAGAGGTACAAAGAGGCTTGAAGGTTATCTGCAACCCAGATTCAGCTCAACACCCCAATTAACCCTAATTACTGCCGCACTTTTCAGACTGATGAAAGTTAATAGAATCTGAAACTTTTGTCATCATGGGAAAATTGTCTTTGGGTAGTGACAGTAATTCCAGGCTTAACAAGAAAGTCATTAGAGTAGCTATTTGGCGACTTCCTCTCATCTGCCCACGCCAACTGAAGGACTTTGCTAAGACTCATGGGGCTGTTGACACACCTGATCAGGGCACTCAGCAGAGGAAGGATGCTTGAACAAGAGCGGGCAGGTGTGGTCAACAATGGAGACCCCGAAGACCCCGGCCTGCAGACCCACTTTGATGTGTGCCTGCAAGAGCTGCCAAGAGCTCTGTGAGTGTATGTGTTGCACGTGTGTGTGTGTGTGCATGCACAAGAGACGGCGTGGTGTGGATATTCAGAAGCTACACTTATGTATGATTTATTATAATATTTTATATTTGATTTCAGTAGTTACATTAACCAGAATTTGGAAGTTTGTCAAACAGGTCTTTCAGATATGACATTGTTTTTGAATTATTTAACTGTAAACTGTAAGACATCAATGAAATCAGCCTTCAATAGATGAGTAAATAGTTAACAGGTGTCATACGGGAGTGTCCACACAAATGCAGAAGAATGCAGAACATGTTGCTCTGTCTGTTGAGAAGTGCCTGGGTTTGGCTTGAATGTTTTTAACGTGGCTGCCAGGTCAAATGCATTTAACAGCAAGACAGTGAAGAAAAGGAGAGAAATTCAGTGCAGTCACAGAATCTTGTTTCATTTTTTACAAGCATTAGATTTGTTTGCTTAAACGGTGCCAAGTACAGGCAATTGGTTGAAGCTGGTCAAAGTTGATATAAATGAGTTTTGTTCCCTGAAGTGAATGTTTTATTTGCCCCTGCGCTCTCATGGAATAGAAAATGGGAGGTAAATATTCGCCAATGCATTTTTGAAGCATGTGTGACCGTGCCCTAATGGTAGTGTTCTCAAAAAAGGCTGGTCCGTAGCTAGATCTGTAGAATATATCACATTTCTTATCATTTAAAACAACCCATCTCATTGGATGTTGGCCCTCCATTGCAAGTTATTGAGTCCCAGCATTTATTCAACGCTGGCCTTACTAATGCTAGTGACAAAAAGGACAACATTAACAATCCTCTTTTAATGTTAGATACATGAACAAGTTCAGCTGTAGCTAATGTGAAGCTTCAGCAATCTGAAACCAGTGGGTGGGTTTCCAAAGTGTTTAGTACTAAATTGCCTTATTTTGTGTTTCCCATGTCAATAGGAAAACATTGTTAAGAATTATTGAAGGAAGGATGGACTGGAAATGTAAGGATGTGATCTCTTTAGAGCCACATTGTAGAGCATGTAAGTAGTGTTTCAAACATAACCTATGGTTTAAATGTACTTCTCAGTGGGATGTGGGCACAGTAATTAAGGAGGGATGGATGAACAGCCACATGATGTGCATGCAGACGCACACACTCTCACACACTCTCATACACACCCTCTCATAGAAACGTATGCATCAATGAGAGAATAATCGTAATTGCTTCTCATCCATCTGAAGTGGCGGCGGTTTGCGACTCTTCCCTGCATGCCTGATGGAGAGATGTGAACCGCTGGTGTTGTGAAACTGTAAAACACGTGATGCAAGCAGAGCCATTTTCTGTCTTCTTGTGACAAGAAGAGTGCGGTGCTCAGGTTGACACTGATGTGGTGCAGGTGAGGTGCTCAGTTCCCACTGAGGCCACTCGTTTTGAAAATGCACTCAGGGTAAGATGCTCTTGATAAAAGCGTTGAGTGAAAGGCATAGTTAAAAGCATGTGGCAGCAGGGTGATTGGCTGGTGATGTACAGCAAGCTGGCCGGATGGTTGCGCTATAGACAAACAGTGCTTCAAACAGTCTTCATATGCTTCCTTCTCCTGTCTCCTTCCTTTCAAATCCATCATTTATTGTTTTGGGCATCAGGTGGTTTAATACACATCTGATTATCATGCTGTATAAGTCAATTCAAACTTGAATATTAGTGAGGGAAAGGAGAGGAGGCCATGCTAGACTGTTGGTTGTGCAGCGAAAGCAACCATCATTGGGCAGGTGGGACCAAGCCTTGGTTACAGCTATGAGGTGGTGGGCAGCAGAAGAGAGCAGGGGACGGGGACGGTGCTGGAGGATGGGGGGTTTAGCAGAACTAAACCAAGCAAGAGACCTGCGTCGAGGGGCGAAGAGACGGAGGAAGAGGAGGAAGAAGCGGCAGCGACAGCAGCAGGTGTAGTGGAGCCATGGGTAGAGGCTGGTCCAGCAGCAAATGGTAAGCTTTTTTACAGACATATATAGACACAGAAGAAATAAGGAGAGACAGACCAATGCATGCTTTTTATGGACTCTAAAGGATACCTACTGCAAACATACTGATACACCAGAGTGTTCATTGTGTGCCTGCGAGTTATAAAATCCAATTGGTCCTCCCATATACCCCTGATTAATGTATCATCCTGAATCCATCCTCAAAACAAATATACTCATGATAAAACAATCAATAGCCACAATGCCAGATGAATCAAAAACATAAGGAGCTTTACAATTGTACACAAACCCCACATGCTTTTTTTCTTTTAACAGCTAAGGTTTTCATACTGTAGGCGCAAAGTGATAGCCTGTTTAAATATGCGTAAGAGTTATGAATCATGTAAAGCGAGGCCCGAGGAAAAAAAGAGCGCTCTCTTTCTCTCATAAGGTCATTTGCTACACAGGCTCATCTGGGCTCTAATTGAATTAAGCAGGCCTCGGGGGGCCTCGGGCTAACCTGAGCGCTAATCTGTGGGCCATTATTTCCTGTTAACGGCACACTCCCTCACTCCCCTCTCCTCGCCCTCCTCCCTCCCTGTCTGCCAGCCCAAAGCATATGTTCTTTAAAAGTTTGCTCACTCCAAACCTGAGCTGCTGTCTCCTGCGGGGACCAACCTTAAAAATAGAATGAGGCAGATATTTTTTTTTGTTTGTTTTATCGAGGTTATGTGATTAGGATGATGGCTCTAAGTCTCCATGGAGGGGAAAGGGGGAATGCTTTCTGAAAGAGGTTTCATGATGAAAGCTGTTGAAACCAAAGTTTTATGTCTTTGTGTCAAAGTGTCTTCTTTCAGTGCCTTCTAAAGGGAGTTTTAACAAAGCTTATTGAGACATCTATGTTACTTGTTCTGCGTTAACAAACTCGGATTTAACCAGTTTCCTTCTGGACCAAAATAAATATTCCCAACACCAAGGACGTCTTCTGTTTATCTAACCCAGGTTCAGTATCCTGATGGGCTTATTTTCCTGCTCCTAACATGTGTTTGTTGTGATATTTCTGATACTTTTATGAACATTTATGTAAACTAGAGCAAAAATAAACTCCAAAACTTTTCAAGCAACAAGGTTAATGCCTTGCACGAAGACACAGCTTTAACCGGGGGACCTACCAGTAAGATCTTGAATCCCATTGTGTCTCTGAAGCATATCCAGCTACTGCATAATGAACTATATATTACAGCAAGAAAGATATAAGAATCTTTCAAAAAAAAAGAAAGAGCTAAGTGGGAAGACATCAAAGGCTTGGGTGTCCTTCTCACCTGGTGTCGTCCCATTCGGGGCTGAGTCCGGTCAAAGAGCCGCGGGACTCTGAGACAAACTTGAAGACGACTACCAGGCAGTCTCTGCACAGCTGGACCAGCCGGCGGCAGCACTGCAGCTCCTGCGGGGACACCACCTCGCTGCTCTTACTGAAGACGCTCTCCCACGAAGAACTGGAGAGCAAAGAGGAAGAACATGCACAGAGAGGGAAATGAAGTGAATAGTCAGAGTCTCTGTCTCAATGTATTCACTAATAGGAACAAAACATATATATCTCCAGTGTGCTCCAGTGGTTATTTTAGCTAGCTTTTTACGATTGAGTCGTGTTCTGTTGACTAAAATTCAGTAACATTTCAATCATTTTCATCTTTCGTAGCTTTGGTCTAATTGAAGCGCATGAAACTCCAAACTGTTTGTCTTGTTATTTCAGCTGTCAGCTTTTTTTTCTCAAATGTGATTCTTAATGTGTCAAAAATGTACTTTTTTTGTCATCAATTTGTATTCAATTTTGTTGAGCCTAAACCAGCAATGTTGTAATTTTAGTCCAACTTATTTAATATAAAATGTAATCTTATCATCATCTGACTACCCTATAAATAGGAATAAAATCTGGTGGAAACACACGCCTGTCATTATTTTTCATGAATTAAATAAACACTAATATGCATGATGCAGGCACACAGATTAAGTAACATTCATTCATATGTATGGAAACATGTTATCTAATGTGTGGCTTTTACTGTTCATGTATGTGTGCATGAACATGTGCCCACACACAGACACACAGACACACAGAGACACACAGACACACAGACACACAGACACACAGACACACAGACACACAGACACACAGACACACAGAGACACAGACACACAGAGACACAGAGACACACAGACACACAGACACACAGACACACAGACACACAGAGACACAGAGACACAGAGACACACAGACACACAGACACACAGACACACAGACACACAGACACACAGACACACAGACACACACACACACAGACACACAGACACACAGAGACACAGAGAGGAAGGATAAAACAAATCCAAGTACAGTTAACCCCCTTTACAGCCCCGGACATACCCCTGACTGTGAGAGAGCTTCCACAACTGAGACACACAACCCCAGGGGGGACGTTTGATGTCTACCCCCTTTCTCTCCACGGGAGATGGGGGGGGGGGGGGGGGGCTTCCACTGAAAGGGCTCAAAACTGTGTGTGTTTCCATTCTCTTTCTCTAAGTCTTTTTCAAAGCCTGTTGAATTCATCGCCCACAATAGCTGCTAGGCCGTTTGATTGTTGTTAAGTCCCTTAGATAAAATATCAAACAAGAGACCTAGAGGAACAGGGGGGGGCTGCACTCGGATTTGGAGCGTGCTTTTGGAGGTGCACTGCTTCTCCGTCTCTGCGTGACATCGGGGCCCCCCTGTTGGTTTCATCCATGTTGGGGCCATGGCCTGTTGTAAGGAGCAGCCAGGACGAAAGGCTACCAAGCTAGCTGGATCAACGAGGCAGGCTGCAGTCAGACAAAAGCTGCATGGGGCGCATCATACTGGGGGGGTGGGGGAGGCTAGGCTAGGCTAGGCTAGGCTAGGCTAGGCTAATCCACCCAGCCATCTACTACAAACAACGCTACCATTTTTTTTACTTCGTCTCATTTTCAATCAGTCGTCTCTCTGCTTCTCTCTGTCACCGGGTCACTTGCCTTCTCTCATTCTGCTTATCCCCCCCTTCATCTCTGTCACCTGCCCACTGACTTCCTCTCTCTCCCTCAATTACGACTGACATGAAGTAAGGGAGGAGAAAATGTAGAGCTGTGGGCTGCGACTTCAGTTACACCCTCTGAGCCCTCTGTGCCGAGGGAAACACGGTCACTGAACAACTGAACTGTAAAGAATATGGAGAGGAGGAGATGCAGGAAGGTCACACCTTCATCACAGACGAGACGAAAAGCTACCAGCACAGCAGCTGTCTGCATGTCAGGGTTGCATAGACAGGGAATTGTGTGTGAGTGTGTGTGTGTGTGTGTGTGTTGCTGCATGTGTGGCTCTGTTTAAGAGGGCTAATGCCTGTGAAATATATGTGTGGAGGCTTCATACATCTTTTAGGGAAGCAAAATATGTGTTTAAGAAGGCCTTTGTGAACAACAAATGCAAATAGTAGTTTACTGTGTGTGTTTTTGTGTGTGTGTGCGTGTGTGTGCCTCTGCCATTTCAGAGTTTATATAAGAACATGATCAAGTTGGCTCTCCCTGCAGTGACTCATCTTGTAGAAAGCCACTTACTGTCGCATCAAAAAAGTAGGAAAAATAAATAAATAAGAAGAAGCCAAATGAAAACTTCAAAGTATCTGATAACAAACCATGGTAAAAGAACTAAGAGGCCTGCGTTCACCTCCTTCCTGCTTCCACTCTTCCCCTCTCCTTTTCTTGCTCTCACCTGTGAAAAAGCTCTGATTAACAGCCCAGATCTGTGACCTTAATTTGCACCCTGTCTCCACGGAGTAACATGTTTCTTTCATCCCCGAGAGCTTTCAGGAAGGTGCAGCGGGGTCTGGTTGGTCTGTCACTCATTCTCTGTCATTCAGATGCTGTTGCCTCCCTCGTCATACTGAATATAAAACCCTGCTGTCACTGAAAATGATATATTGAAAAACACAGGGCTTAAGGACATGGGGAGATTGCGTAGAGCGTGAACTTCAAGGTATGGAGATGAAAGAGCAGGGTTATATAATGAATAGAGTGGTAATTGGCCTGCAGTGTGATCATTTGTATGTGAGCAGTTAGTGAATGAACATCTTCAGCACTCAAGAGTGTTCTCAGTGATACTTTGACATTTTCAACATCGTCCGATTTTTCATGTTCTTGGTTTAAGTCACCAATAGCAGTCATAATATCGACATATCTTGTATTTCTTCTCTCAATAAGGGCGGCCTATTCATACCACCTAGGATTGTGACCCTAGCCATTCCCCTCGTATCTTCTCCCAGTGTATAACTTGATCATGCTGGCCTACCCAGTGTTGGAGAAGCAGTTCCACAGGCCCTGTCCGTGGCTCCACAGCAGCCGGTTGAAGACGCGGTTAAAGAGCCGGTAGAGGTGGAGACTGTCTACGTCGGGCTCCCTCCAGATCCGCTGCAGCGCTGAGCGGACATTGGTACGGACAATATCCAAGACCTGAGAGAGACGGAGATAGTGAGATATGGGAGAGGAAATGAGAGAGAAAGAACGCTTTAAATCAAGCATGCGATAATGAAGGAAATTAATGCTGCGACACAAAAGGTGACGGCATTTCTATTTGATATGCGTGAGTTGGCATTTGTTCCAACCGTAAGATTTTTCGGTTAAAATTAGCAATCACAGAGGCTAATGCATTCACTCAGTAACAGAGAGCAAAGTTGCATTAATGAATAAACAAGCGCACACACTTCCCACCAACACATATAGTATTTTTTGCACATAATGTTTTCCCTGAACACATCCTGAAACTAGTTTAATCAGACCTTGTGTAGTGAGGAGTTGAGGAGGTTTATCCTGCTCAACTCCTCACTACATGTCTAAAGCATGCTCAGACATAAAGCTTATGTGAACTGTGTGTGTTAGAGTGTGTGTGGTAGAAGCAAGACAAAAAATGCTGGGGCAGACAGTGGAGAGGACTAATTGCTGCAGCGACGTCAGTCTTGGAGAGAAGGTGTCCCAGCGGTCTGAGGACACCTGCGCCAGTCTTCCATCTTCCCTCCTTCCTTTTTCCCCATCCCTACCCTCCTCACTGCCTTCTCTTCCTTCTCTTTTCACCCAGCTCAGAGTGCAGCGCTTGTGGCTCTTTTGACTTTGATTCCTCGCTCCTCATTACTGACGTGCCCGTCTCACTGTGTGTGCGTGCATGTGTTTGCGATGCGGAGAGGCGAGGTTTCCCTGCAGCAATATGAGGCGACCGAGTCACACGCATACACACTCAAGACAAACTGATAGATGAGTAAACACACACACAGATATGTTTTGGTATGGTAATCAGATGGCGGAGCGGTGGGCGCTGCATTCCTGACCTCTGCCTGCTGCTCATTAGGCTGCTCCACTCCGAATAAAACATCGGCTCGCAGCGCCACAGCCCACAACACAGTGGTGCAGAAAGCAGTGGCGGAGAGATCACATCATTACTGACACGCCCACCGGATGCCTTTTCACGTCTTGTCCCGTCTTCTGTTTTGTTTACATCCTTTTTGGTGTCTCTCTCCCTGTCACTGTCTGACATGATAATGATCTTCAGGCTTGTCTTTTTTTCTCTCTTTGTCTGAAGTTTGATTGCGGATTATTTTCCTATTTTAAAAGTTCTTCGAAAGCATTCAAATGAATAGGTAGGAGCTGTGACATTTTGTCATTTCACCGGGTTTTAATAATGTCCATTCTATACACAGTGACAGTAAGTATAGACTGGGAGCAAGGACGAAGGCGGCGGATTTATACAGGTGTCAAAAGATGAATGTGGCCCATTGTTTAGACTATAAGACGTATCAATAAATGAAGCATGATTTCTGAATCTACCTGGTATTAATTGCTATAAGTTATTGTCTTCTCTTCTCATCAATTGTCTGTCTTTGTCTATTGGGGTCAGCCTAGGAAGCAGTGACCCCTTTTCTAGCTTCTAGCAAAAATTGTATACAAAGGTTGAATACAATTGTGTGGCGTTGAGCGTATCTTGAAGTTGTTCAGTATTCTGCTGAGCATCTCTAGCTACTGAAGACCTGAAGCGAGAAATATCTTCCAATTCTCTGGAAAGGCAAAGGAATCTTTAGATGTGATTAAGGCATAGGACTAACCTTTCGTTGTTTAGTAGAGTCCAGCTTCACCAGCCAATAGGAAGCCACCTTTGACTTATGGTATTTCCAGTTGTCGTGCATCTATGGAAGAAAAGTTGGAATAAAAAAGTCAAAAAAGTATCCTTTAAACATGCATACAATTTGTTTTAAAGTAATAAGTAGGACAATAAAGCAACACATTTAAAAAAAATCTGTTTTCATTTTTAAGGTATCATTTTAGCAAAAACAAATATTGCAAGTGAGCGCCACTGTGTTTTTTGCTCTAAAACCCAGGGTTACTACAGTAAATCATCCAGTGAGGAAAACACCTGCCAAGATGGAGCCCAGTTTAACTCTAGTTCTTTCTTTTAGTGTGGGATCAGGAATGTACAAAGACTGGAGCTCATTCCCACCATCACACATTCCTCCTGGCAGACCTTCTTTCACACTTAGGCCCAGACACGGGATCACTGCCGGGTTTTTAAGCTTCTGTCTAGTAATGTTTTTTTGGTTTTCACACATAAGACATCCATTATAGAAAAGTTCCAGGTTCAAACATGACAGTACCATTACGGACAGCGCTGCAATGCTTGTGAGATATTCGGAATCTTGCACATGATACTAGGTAACACAGGAAATATAATGCAAGAGGGGAGAGATTGTTTACAGCACATATTAACGGTGTGTTGTTATTTTGTCTGCAGAGTCAGCTTCAAGTCAGTTTGACAAAACAATTGTCAATTCTTCTCGTCAGAGTCAAATCTCCTGCTTCACAAAAAACTCCATAGGTAAGGAGGACTTTTAAATGTTAAGTTGTTCGTGCTTTTACTGGAACAAGACTACGTGTCTTTACTTCAAAACCTGTTAAAAAATTCAAATTGTATTTAGCTTAAAGTAAGTGGCCTGCCAAATAGATTTCTTTAATAAATAAAAACAATTTAAGTATTTACAAGATGCATTGCTTTTCTGTAGAAGACTCTTGCGGTACTTTTTTGTATCACAACACAGGGATAATAGAATAATTGAGTCGTGATCTTGGGTTCTTGAGCAGAAACACCCAATGTGTTGCGGGTGTGTCGGAAAATCCTTGGGGTATGTGTCATTATGCTCAAAAGCTGTGCTGGATATTCCCTTGCACTTGCTCCTGGTGCCAACATCACTGTGTACCTACAGGCACTGTTATTGTTGCTCTGTTGACTAAGTCTACATATCCCCACTGGTGCACATAAACCTCTCACATATCACGTGGATCCCCTGCAAACAGTGCTCCCATTGGGAGGCTCCAGTGTAAACTTGATGTTTACTCACACACACACACAAACAGTGACGCATGCATAAAAACAATCCACAAGGATTCACAGATGCAGATCTAGGTATACAGTAAACACTTTTGTTCGCTTTCCAAGAAGGTAGTTGTTTGTCGTTTCGTGTTCTCTCTTATTAAGAACCTTATGAACCATCTGGTCCGATGTACACCAATTTGTCACATTTGTTTTTGACATACATAAATTAGCCTCAAAGCAAAACAAAACCCACTCCATACATTTCACCTGCCGATGGTTTTGAGTGAAAGATAAAGGAGCAAATGAATCCAATAAAAACATATCATTAGCCCAATTACACCTCAATTTTAAGAGGGAAACATAAATTGCCAAAGATTGTTTTCCTGCCAGGTGAGCGCTCTTTGTTTCTCACGACGCAAACCCTGAATAGTACAGGTGCGGTTGCTCATCTGCGTTTCCATGGTGCTCTCATTAGGGTTTGTTAACAGTACAGATGTGCTAATAATTGTCTCTCATGACCTCAACACATCCAGATGTCACACACACATAAACAGATTTAGCTGTTCTTGTGATGGGAATGTATGGGCTCACATTAATTACATGGGGGCTTGCCCTTACCTAACCGAAATCATTACAATCACATGCTTTCCCTTAACCCTTAAATGATCTTACAGATGCCTGATTTGTATTATGTATTGTATTGTCCCCTGTTGTGGCATTATGAGATGCCATATTACTATTATTATTAATTATGTTTAAAAGGTTGCAATGGTTCAGTGCTATACATTTCACATAATAAGAATGTAAAAGCTGAACCATAAACATTAATAATGCAAAGCATCAGTCACATCGCTGCTCTTAAAAGAAGAAAACATGCATAGGATTCATTGAGCATACTGTACGTAGATAAACGCAGGATTTCCACTTGGCCTATATTTATTGGATTGTTTCCATGGTACCTTACACCAGTATAACATCTCTACAAAAACTGTAAATATTTTTGACAAAACTACATCTAAATTAAACTATGAAATCATCATGCAATGTTGTTGACTAAAAAACACCTTTTGAAAATGTAGTAAAAAATATTAAATCTTTAAAAAACTAAATTCGTGTCTCCATCTTCTTAACTTTGGCCTGAAGGTGACAATAAACTGAAAAAATCCTGTATGGTTCTCATGTAGCCAACTAAGGAACTCTTTGTCCTTTGACCATGTTGTTGTGGTGGTCTTTCTGTCATTAGTCAGCGGTGAAGACAGTCTGACCGGCTGCTGTCCTTTCAGCACCGTGGGACTGTGGTGCTGAAAGGACAGCTGGTTCTGAGGACAGTGACGGCCGTAAATGAGGTCAGAGTGGACCGGACAGACGCTTCAATTGTCAGCTAATTTTCTCACGCTGTGCTGTTGCTCCCGGTGTGAGTCAAAGGTGAGCCCCTGCCGCTGTGTGGATTTATGACTTATTTATTGCTTTGACAAAATGCGATATCCATTTCCTTTTTTTCTTGTTTTACATTTTTCATAAACAAAAATACATAACTTCAGGTAATTGATGTATTAAGCTTAAACTGTGTATGGCTCGTCATAAAGAAACACATAGTTATGGTAATTGGAGGTATAGCTACTAATTACTAGCTATTAGTTAACTAATAGGTGCTCTGGAATTCTTGGGCAAACTGTTATAATAGTATATACTTAATAAACATCATATACATCCATTAACCTGGGATTTTTCTGTCCACTTAAACAGTTTTTCTAATTATTTTAGATGCGCATCTTTACAAAACGTAGATTTAAGCAATGGCTTGAGCATTAGCACAAACACACAATTACAAAGACTGGTTCAGATGGAAGGACACAGAGATCTGAGCAGAAATAGAGGATGCACTGATTAATACAAAGGAGCAGTGGGGAATAGCACGGGGCTCCAAACTGACCGACAAGTTGTCACTGGGGTCATTTGAAAGACAATGGGAGCCAAGCCAGAGCGGCAGGCTATTGTAGAGGGAGGCAAGGAGGTCACTTTTAGTTAGACTGCAGAGTGACCGCACCTGGCCGCAGAGGGGGCTTTGGGAATACAGTGGGTCCAGATTTCTGTTCACCGCTTGTACTCCATGTTCACTCCCACTCTATCTGTCCTTGTTAAGTTCAGTCTTACTTTACTTTGTTCCATTTTCACACCCTGTTACTGCCTCGGAATCCTTTTTGATACACTGAAAAATGTTGATTTTCATATTGTATAAGGTAGTGAACACAGAAATAAATTATAAATAGTGCACACACCTCATCCAGCACAGCCTCAGCCTCCTCCTCGGTTTTTCCCGGAAACCTGATCCTCATGGCGGTGAGCGCGGACAGAGTCTGACGCACCAGCTCGGCCTCCTGCTCTTTACTCCTCAGGTTTATCAGCGGATCGCCCTACACACACACACACACACACACGCACACACACACACACACACACACACACGCACACACACACACACACACACACGCACACACACACACACACACACACACACACACAGAGAAACCAATTCAGTGTACTGACACACATTAATATTAAGCAAAAGGTCTCATTACAAAATATAGTATCACACCTACTGTATCCAAACGGACTGTTTAATACATCATGTTATTAACAGAAAATACATTTTAAATGTAACATTTAATCTATCCCAATTGACGCAGAGGGCTCTTCCAAATCACCAAGGCACAACAGATTATAAAGCTGAATTCACATATTGTTTACACTATAAAACAATGTTAGCAGGGTGTGATGCTTTATTACTGTATAATAACTATTAGCCAATATTATTAGTTATCAGGCATCATCGACAGACATTTTTGCCCTCTTAAATGTATTATCCTCCTGCCACCTCCTATAGTCCCAACTCAGTATTTCTTCTACAAGCAGTTGGCTCAGAGTGGTATCAGGAACACGCTTTGTTTAAAAATAATGATGTTTTCCTTCTATAGCACTTGCTCACTGGTGAACGTATATCCAATTTCAGATTTCCTGTACCAGCATGTCCTTATCCCCAGGGGTGTGATTCCCATAGAGAAGTCAGTATGCAAAGACAGTAAAATAAGTAAAATGTAAGAAAGTTCTCCTGTCATTTTGTTTACAAGTGAGTCAGGATACAAACGTACAACCAACACTGTGGACTTTCTCAGTACAAAGGTTTTCCAAGTATTTATATTCTTAATGTTGAAGAAGGTTTTCTGCTCCGTGTTATTTTGTTCCACTTGACCAAAGGTTAGCAGAGTGCTTGTATAGAAGGAGGGTGAATGGAGGAGGCAGGCGGAAAGCAACAGATGGCCACATGATAGAAGAATACAGTACGCCTATACAGTATTGAAGGAGCTGCTTAACAGATTCCTACTGGGCCAGGCTACAATGTATGCAACAAGGGGAAAAAAGCAACAATGGTGAATGTGTGTGGATTCGGGGAGTAACTCTTGATTGTTTCCTTCAAACTATTTGGAGTAGTGGATCAGTAGAGGATTGCCTCCTTGAAAAATGTGACAGTTTGAATCTTTCAAAAATGAATTCTTACTTTTCTGTGACTGACAACTTATCTGACACATTCTGAATTGTAAAGACTTCTTTGTGTGTCGCGTTTCTTACGATGTTGGAGTGGATGGTCCCCAGGCTGTTGCTGTGAGGGACACGGTGGGCGGAGCCACTGCGGCTCAGCGAATGAGAGCGCAGCGTCGCGGAGCTCGGCCTGACGAGAGGCGTGGCCATGGGAACTGTGGGAGAAGGCCTGGAGGACAACGCCCGCACCTCATTGGGCGACGAGAGGGAGGCGATGGATCGAGGGCAGGAGATGGAGCGCCTGATTGGTCCAGAAAGTGTTGGGGAAGCTGAGGGGGCGGGGCTGGTTTTGTGTGACTTGATTGGAGGTTTCCAGTGCATGCGACCTGCAGAGAAACAGAAGTGAGGGGAGAGGGAGGGGGGAGAAACACTGAATCACTGTCACACTTCAAATTATTTTCTTCCCTGATCCTGTCTCAATGTCACTGTCAAGCTCTCCTCTCTGTTTTCCATCCGTTGCCTGGTGGCTTTGGAGATGAAGTGTGGCTTTAAGACTCCCATTGCAGCGCTCTGGCACACTGGCCCAGTGGCGTGTGTGTGTGTTTTTTTGTGTGTGTGTGGGTGTGGGTGTGTGTTATTATTGACCACAGCATATGTAGTCAAAACCAGAAACTAAACAGTAGTTCTGTCTGGTTTGGGGATGGATTAAAGAGCAGCTCTCTCTCAGACAAACACATGAACACACGCAAATGCACACACACACACGCATGCAAACACACAAGAAATAAAGCTACAAATCTGCACTAGCACACTCCGTTACCCTTGAAATTGCCAACCAGCATATTAAAGTGTGTTTCCGGGCAGTGTGTGTGCGTGTTTAACATCAAGTGCGCAGACGTGTGTGTGTGTGTGTGTGTGTGTGTGTGTGTGTGTGTGTGTGTGTGTGTGTGTGTGTGTGTGTGTGTGTGTGTGTGTGTGTGTGTGTGTGTGTGTGTGTGTGTGTGTGTGTGTGTGTGTGGGTGTGTGGGTGGGTGGGTGGGTGGGTGGGTTGGGTGTCTGAGGTTTGGATATTTTTTATTTTTTGCCAAATGAGAGCATTATGGGGCTTAGTCCGAGCAGCCCTTTGGTGGCTTGGTATGGAGTAGGGCTTGGCAGTGATGCCGTCTCCTCTATGCACACACACACACACACCACACACACACACACACACACACACACACACACACACACAGATCCAAAACTTATGTTTTTCAATGGCTTTGTCCCTTATTTTGTGACCAATAGAATGAGCTCATGCAAGTGTATTTTCTATTGAGCAGTATAACTGTCGGCCCACAATGCAACTGAAGATTTTTTTCTTTCCAAGGTCGCCATATAAGGCTTCTGTGAAAGGTACCCTGTCTCTCACTTCAGAGAGGCAAACGTGAGTTGATGTTTGTGACCTATACGAATTGGTGTAAGACTTATCCCTCTCACTATAAAACTAGGAATATTTCAGCATTAAACTCAAGGAGATCTAAAGGTAAACAATATAAGGCGTCTTTTTTCCTTTTTTTCTCCTTTTCCCTTTGAATCAAATTCCTCCTCTCTGGCGTCACCCTTCATTAATTGGAAATGAACTGTTCAGGGCACCTTTCTTTACTCAAGTGCTTTTCAATGCTTCAACGTGTATGTGCTTGTGTTTGTGTTTGTGTTTGTCCAATGTGAAGCTAGAAAACCAGTTTATATAGATACTCAGCAACAAAGCGCCACTTATAATGAGTTGCAGACTGTGATCACCCTGTTTACTTTAAATCCAAGGACCTTTTAACATTGTATCACAACAATCAGGCACATATATACTGGCATGGCTGATGAAGATCTGTAATGTGCCGCCTGCTGGCTACCCCATCTCAACCTTCAGCTTGCTGCACTATAGGTACTGATCAAAGCAAAACTCTGCATTTGTATTTTGAAAAAGTGTGTTTCCATGTATATGTAAATGTGGTCTGTACAACTATGAATACATTTCAAACTGTAATAGTTAAAAGGGTCCAAGGGAAGGGTGTTGTGTACTTGTAGCATCACAGGATCAATTTAAATGTCCCTGTAGCATCATTATATGCGTTAACATATATCTCACGTCTGCACTTTGTTCTGTTGGAGTCAGAGAAGATGGAAAATGGAGACAGAAACTTAAAAATGTGAATTTGTGTGAGCAAATTTGCACATCTGAATTAAGCTATCCGCTGTAATCAGATGGAAGCAAGCAAAAAAAAAAACAAAGCAAACAAGAAGGATTGCAGGAAACGAGGTCTCTGTCAAACCCCCACAGTCTGGCTTCCTAATGAAGACATCGTCAGACACTTTTGTACTTCCTGCTGGTTTACCTGAGCGCTCAGACAAGTTCTTCTCCTTGCTCTCCCCGAGGTCATAGGAAACTTTCTTCTCCCTCTTCTCTCCTCCTCCTGCTTTCCTCCTCTCCTCCTCTTCTTCGTCTGAGGAGGAGCAGGAGTTATCGCCACTGCTGCCACTGGTGAAGTCAGCCAGGTAGTCCGGCCGCTGACGTCTGGGAGTCTGACTGCTCTCTGGCATGGCTGTCATTGGCTGGCAGAAACAAACACATATACACAGACATGATATAAGATGTACACATAGATTGGGTAATGTGTGCATTCATACACAGATTAAACAGACATGATCATACACAAATGCTGTTTTTCTCCCTCCCATCCTCTGTATCACACACACACACACACACACACACACACACACACACACACACACAGAGATATCCTTCTACCGTTTTCACTGACTGAATTCACTTCATTTCCCAACACCATCCTAAATGTTTGTAAATCCTCAAAAAGCATCTCACAAGGACGTTCAAACACAAACACACACACACATACAGAAAGACATTAAGATGTTGTCAGCCTCTCCTCACCCCCAGCCCATCACCATCTGTCACTGGTGACACGGCTAGCCCACGTCTATGTTTGTTTGCAGGCTCATTATGCACAGATACATAAAAACACACAGAAGCCTGGCTACAACCCTGAATGGGAACACAAGTGGCATAGTAGCCCTTAACAAATTTGACCTGAGTCATTGACATGTAAAAGTTCAAAGTCTGTATTTATTACATTTTTTTACATATCTGTGTCAACCAATAAACTGTAAATGCAACTGTGAGGCAGCTTTTATTCGGAAAATGTTATTTTTCATATGCAATTTTGATAATAACCAGACATTTTAATCTCAGCTAAGTAAACATGTCTGCGTATATCCTGACCTCCTTCAGCCATAAAACACAGAGACATTTAGTAAGGAGTTCATTAAAGCTGAGTGTCTATCTCACATCCTGGAAGGGGACACACTGATAGGATTAATAAGGCATGTATACATCTGTTATTCAACGGTTAGCTAGGGCAGGGCTGTCAGGCCACCCAAATGAATGGGCAGGAAGTGATCACAGGGCTTACACAGTCACCGCTGGGTAGCTGTGAGTGTGAGAGGATGATAGAGACAGAGAGAGATTAAACACATTAGAAGGGTATAAAGGCGAAGATGGGAACAGCAGATTGATGGGGAGAGAAATAAAGAGGAGGACGAGTTAAATCTGACAGATTCAACAGAGAGGAGGCATTGAATAGCAGGGAGAACGGAAATGAGCACAGAGGGAGAAAAAAGGGACACTGAACATCGGAGTGGGGAGAGAGAAAAGGAGACGGGAACAGACAGCGGATAAACAGTGGAGAGCAAAGACAAAGAGAGAGGCAGACACCGAGCAGATGAGGAGAAAGAAAGAGAAATGTAGGATGAATGAGTGAGAGGGTAAATCAAGCTCGACGGTGAGGAAGGGGGGGGGGGGGGGGGGGGGGGCAACACCAAGAGCAACAAATGTGATAAGGTACACATCATAATTACAGAGGTGGACAGTTAGAAAGACGATTTACTTGAGAAATGTAGTAAAGTACAAATGTCATGTTCTTTACTTGAGTATTTCCCTTTCCTGGTACTTTTAAATGTGTTAAATATTGTACTTTTTACTCCTCCACATGTATTTCATCCCTACCCAACAGCTGCAACATGTGTTCAGTGTGTGATAAACACTTTACAGCATCAATATAATAATTCAATAACTTTATATATATATTAATCTGAATGATGAGTCCTTTTATCATTGTTGCTTGGGCAACCAGTGCCTTTATTTGAGCCAACATCCGCCCACTTTAACTATTCATGCTAATACTTGTGTACTATTACTTCAGTTAAGTTTTGAATGCAGGGCTTTTACTTGTATTATAATATTCGTACACTAAGTACAAATACTAATGTGTACGTTTACTTATGTAAGAGATCTGAGCACTTGGTCCAGCTCGACATAATAAGGAAGACATGAGTTAAAAAGACAATCAAATAAAAACATAAGAAAGAGAAAAATAACACTTGAGGGCCCTCTCCTCCCTCTCACTATTTCATTTCCTGCCTCCCTTGCCATCTACCACTCGTCCTCTGCGTCTGAACATTTCCTCAGCGATAGCAAACCTTAGCGGCCCTTCCTTCCTTCCTTCAAAATCCGGTCTCTAATCCCTCCGGCTCTCTCCTCTCTTCTAGCTCTCGCAAACTCTCTGGTTCACTCTCACCAGATGGCTTGCGAGCGCTACACCCAGAGGAGTGAATCTATCCGTCACAGCTCTTTCTTTCCCCTGCTATCAATGTCTCTCACAGCCCACTCTGCAACATCGAAACTGACGGGGGCCAAATTAATTTGGACAACAGTGATTGTGTCTGAACAAGTCCTCATTCTGGCTAAGGCCTCTCTAATGCAGCACTGAACTGCCCTGTCGAGTCCCTAACACACTCTTTGAGTGTTCCAGTCAATGTAGCCCTCAAGTGAGGGATGGGTGCAGTTCTGCAGAGGGAGAGCAAGGGAAGGAGAGGTGAAGGGAGAGAAGTGAAGCAAGGTGATGGAGGGAGTAATGTGCTGTCGTGGGAAATTGAGGGGGCGTATAGGTATATGTGACAGAGGGGGAGAGGGAAAAAGAGGGAGATGGACAGAAACAAAGATAGCACGTAGGGAGAGAGCGGGAGAGACAGGCTGACAGCTGTCCCCTCGGGGAGTTGGCTCTTTTCTTTGGGCCGTTTTCTGATTCTTTTCTTTCTCGCCTAACCCGCAACCCCCTTCTTTATTTTCCTGAATCACGTCCTATATGCTTTCTGGGGGTGTTAGCTCCAGGCATCTGCCTACCTGCCTCCCCCCCCCTCTCTCTTTCTCTCCCTCTGACACTCTTTGCACTTTTCTTAGTTCCCTTGAGACATGTGGCCCTTTTTCTCCCTCCTCCCTCTTGGAGTCTGTCTTCCTTCCCCTCTCACACTCTCACCCACCTTCGGGCCTCGTTGCCTGGAGGTTTTGCCCATCAGCTTCTCATCGTCCAGTTCGCACTGCTCCAGCAGATCCAATATGTCCTCCTCCTAAACACCAACGCAAGACACACAAGGTCGATTAGAGTAGGTCAAAGGTGATGATTTATGTCACATGAGGAACATACATCGTCAAGCATCAGCAAGAACTAACCCGTCAGTTCAATCTTTGTGTAACACTATTAAGGAATAATTAACATTCTTTGATGGTTCATATCACTAGTAATTACTTTGAAGTCAAAGCGAGGTAGGAAAAAAAAGAAACTTCAATTATTATCTAAAAAAATGGGGATGAAAAAGTGAGACTTTACAGGCATATGCACCTTATCTGGGGGTTATAAAAAAGGCCCTGGCGGAACATGCCTTGCTATTTGGCAGCGCTCATAGAGGCTGAATTTGGAAAAGGCAGCGTCATGGCCATTGCCAATATACTGGGGCCTTGGCCATTTGGCCGGAGCTGAAATGCAAGCAAAGGTGATTAATGTTGCTTCACGGCCGGGACATAAAAGGCTCCCACTTGACGCTCAAATACAGATGAAAAGTGATTGTTTTCTCTCTGCTTAGCCATAAAGCTGCATTCTGGGGTCCGTGAATAGGTCACTGTGCCCGAGGCTCTCTGTGTCGGTGTGTAAGTGCTGAATATTTGTACAGCGGCATTCTTGCAAGTCTGGAAGTCTTGAAGTACACATCATTGGGCGCAGACATTTCTTTTCTTTCTTTTTTTATGAACTTTTGCCTTTTTGTAAATGTGTGACTTTTTAGTTTTGATATACCTGTTTATGTGTATGAGAGTATGAGAGAAATATAAAACATTATAAAGAACCATTCATTGTAAGGATAGGATGCACTAAATATTTTTTTGAAGTAGTCTTGAGGAGCTAACAACCAACATTTGATATGTTAATGTTTATTTAACTTGATAATTAAAAACAGCACTTTGCCTTGCTTTGAAGAATTTATTTTTATTTAAGTAAAAGTCTGCTGATTTAATAACCTTTTACGACGTGAAAGCTTCCCCGCCCACTGTGGTTTAAAACCACCGGAGGCCCATTACCTTGTAAAATTGCACCAAAGCAGATTACATGGATGTCTTGACATGGTATACACTATGGAAGAAACAGAACTTGACACGTATAAAGAAATGACAGTTTAACTGAAAGCTACTCTCTCTCTTTCTAAAGTTAAAGTTTTTCTAACAGAGTGAGTCTACATCAAATGATGCTCCTCTATAGATCGGCTCTTATTTTGCGATCTCTGGCTCCACCGTCACTAACGATTATTTCCCAACTTGCTTGAATTTGAATTTGTAATGATCACTTGCAAATTAAACATTCTATACCCAGCATGTCTGCATTCATAATATGTAGCTGCCTGTTAAACTTCTTTGCCAACAGTCTTTGTACATGTCAGCTCTGAAACTACACTGTCCAAACAAAGTACTTTGTTGGCACTGGAGGACCAAGTGTGTAGTCCTGTCCAGAAAGATTTGCATCTTTTTTTTTTGTTAAAAAGGCAGTCATTTATTTCTCATCCTGGCAGATTCTGGCCGTTTCTCAATCGCGAGGATATTGGCTTCCAAGCCAATATTTCAAGGATGCTACGTCATCGAGTGCCGCCGAAGGACCGTTCCAATCTCCAGCATACTTGGAATTCCACCGAGGCCGCGTCCTTGGTTTGGGGGAAATTTCGAGGCTGCACATGGGTAGACTTCGCGTCCTTAAAATCCCCACAATGCTTTGCGCATGGACCAATTTCCCCAAATCTGTGGCGGAAGATGTAAGGCGGGGCCTCTCATATGACGCACACTTGCTAGCCTGTTCCACTCTTTGTTTTCCGAATGCCAGGAAGTATTCTTGCCTTGCTTCTGAAGCAAGATGCTCGGCTCGGCTGTGCTACCAAGCCAGCATCCTCGCGATTGAGAAACGGCCCCTGCCTTGACATTCTCCGACTTCATATGTCTTGGCTGTTTGACAGATGACGCTGTCTCGTCCATTTCTGTGGTTAGGAATTCACTTCCTCCATTGTAAAAAAACTAATAATATACACATACCCCTGAGCCAGAAGAAAACTGGGCTTATTCCTTTAGACAAATAAAAAAAAGCCCTAAGGACCCCTCTCATTTCTTCTTCAAAGCAAGAGAGATAGACTTTATGGAGAGAGGATAGACTGTGACACCTCTACTCCCACTGTTCAGCAGAAAATAATATGTTCCAATTTTTCCACAAGATTCTTGCATAACAAACAGCAGCTGTAAAAACGCACTTCCTACACTCATTGCATGTACGTAGGTGGCTTGTGTTACAAGAGCAGGAGCTATTACTTTAGTGGCATGTACATCGTGCTGTAGGGTTATTTTTTTATTTTGTGTTGGCTGGTTGTACTGGAACTCCAGGTTAAAATGCTGTGCGCAGGATAAAACCGACCCATTCAGTTTCAGGCCATGTGCATCAGTAATCATGTGTTTTTAATTCTGCATGCTGTGCAACATGATTAGCAGCTAATGTGCAGTTTATGGTTCCCACCCATTTTTCTCTTAACCATCAAATGATTGAAGTTCATTTTGAGCTGTCCTCACCAAAAATACCCGGTAAATAGGTAAAACTACTTCTTCATTTCATTTCATTTCAAACCTTTATTTATCCAGATTGTCCCTTGAGATCATAGATCTCTTTTTCAAGGGAGACCTGCAGCAATTACTGTAGGTTCCACATGAAACATAAAACAACATAAAACAATAGAAGATATCATACAACATATTTGCAAGCTACATTTACATACTTATCAACATCTACAAATACCCATAGTTTCAATGAGCATTTCATTTAGACTTGCTTTAAAAACATTCAGAGGAATAAAATTGCTCAGTTTCAATTTTAGCTGTAGACTGTTCCAAGCAAGTGGCGCTGCGCACATAAAAGCTGTCTTACCTAAGACAGTCCTTGCTCTTGGCACATCTAACAATACTACTGTACATCATGCGAGCTCAGTCAATAGCTGCTTGCAACTCTCTGTGTTATCAATGAACAGATGTAATACGGGAGTTTACCCAACATAGCTTTATCTAAACTTCTAGATTTGTGATAACATAAAATCCATTTGAAGATCAATGTAAAACTATGAACTCTTCTTTAAACCAGACTACCAACAGCCCTTTAAAGGCTGTTTGTATCCCTCTGCTTAATGTGCATTTCCAGAGCTTGAAGACCACTTTGATTGGATCTGCACTGACTTTGAACTGCTGCCACACAACTTTTGCAGTTTGTGTACTGCTGCTAGTTCATCATATTGGCAGAGCCACAGGCCAGCTGAGCATGCACCTGCATTTTTATTTGTATTTCCATTATCTATGAGAGCAAAATAGAGGAATGGGAATACATCAACTGAGCCAGGCGGGAAACATAGAAAGCTAAGAACAGAACTAACAATTTGATGCATACCTGTCAACCAAACTGTAATGGAAGAGGGGAGAAGGGTGATGCAAACCCTGTAGAAGCAAGTGTAACAGCCATGAAGCCTGGCTGTGCCATGTGTCAGCATGTTATCCCTGGGATAACAAAACATGCTTTATTTTTCTTTGATAGTGTGACAATCCATGACAATTTTCAATTCATGGCCCTGAGACGCCAACAAAGGCAGCAAACAAGAGTCTAGCGGGTACAATGTCAGTCAGACTTGACAGATATGGAAGGCTGGCAAATGACCTCTGGCCCCTTGCAACACGAAGAACCAGCCAAACAGGCAATGCACGTCACAAGATGACTTATGGATCCCACCAGGGTTATAGTCCAAAGCACTTTGACTGACCGGTGCACAAAATTAGAGGTTTGGTTTATTATGAGATCATTAACTGTTGTGTTTACAGATAGAGACCTAAAGATGGGTACGTTTAGCTACAAAGTTTAAAAGTGTATTGTTAAAGTTGGAATTGGTATTTGGCAGAAGCTTAAATCTACCAAGAGGTGAATTGTGGCCGGAAGAAAAAAGTGGGAGTTGGAGTGAGGAGTGCCAGGAAGAGTTTGTTGTGTTGGAGTACAGAATGTGTAACCTAATGTTATCGAAAACATTTTCAATGTCAAGGCTAAATACTTGGCTGGTTTTAACAATATCAGGCCTTGAATTGGGAACTTGAAGATCTTTTAGAAGTACTTTATTTGCAACAAAAGCATTCAAACTTGTGCAGGTTATAAATAAAGTAGTTTTTGAGTCTCCACAGTCAGTGTGAGCAATGAGAATGGAGTATGAATATTAGTTTTGTCTAGAGCTCAAATAGGAACATGTGGGAGGAAAATGATAACAATAACGAAGCTGAAGGGCACAAACAAACCCACCTAAAGTCTGTCAAGAAACTCAAATCATATTACATTCTTCCCTGGTCTGCTGAATATCATATTTGAATTCATTAACATAATTTATTTTAAAAGATTGACGAGATTGGTATCTCACACTGTCACTGACAATCCAGTATATACTCATGATCATGTTATGAGTTAGCAAACATTAGATCGATTTGCCTTTGTTCTTATCATCTTTCTCGCTTTCTACATTGACTGAGAGCCACATTTCTGTGTTGAACATACCTCGGCCAGTTGTATGCCTGATCTTTGATTGACATCTCCACAAAAAGGTATCTATTTATCAAAGATTCCCCTGTTGAAAGGACACCCAATAACTTTCTGAAACCAGATTGCAAGTGGGTGGAAGCTGTAGGTTTGTTTCTACAAAAGCTGCAGTAGTTGTACCACTGTCAGAAATATCCATTATAAGCATTCATTTTTAATATTTGTTTGCCAAAAGCAGTATGTGTCTTTGTTTGATCTGCATATTTGCTACTCATCAATGCCTTTTCCCTCCATGTGTTGTAATATCCCACAATCCTTTCTCTGTGTCTTTTTGATGAATTGATTTGTTATTTCTGAATACATAACCAGACTTCAAAACAGAACAGTGCCTCTTTCTTGTGCATATATTTTTTGGAACTTGACTCAACTCCTCAAGTACGTCCTTAATAGTCTTATCATAATTCTCTCTATTTATCAGCTTCTCACCATCTTTATACTTTATGACTATTATTGTCAACCTTCTTCTGTCACCATTTAAACCCTTCACATTTCTCACTGTTCGGCCTCTCTCTACCAACGTTGTTAGGTCTAGAAATGAACTTCTCTTAATTGCAAAGTCTCTCCATACCTTGAGGTTCAGCTGAAGCTAGATCCCTCCTGGTACCAGACCGGCATTGGCATTTATATGCATGCAATGACTTCTACCCCACATACAAACATGCATGTGTCTCAGTATACTGCAAAACAAGTTTGCGTGTATGTACTATACTATATGTTCCAATGTGTATCCCTGAATCTAAATAAATAATCTCCCTGAAGGAAAGTAAACCAATATACGTGGGCAGCAACTGTAATCAACTTTGAAGCCTCTCCATAACTAACTCTGACAGGAATATATAGGAAGAGGACAAGAGAAACTGAAAAGAGTGTCTAAATGTAAATAAATAAAAATGACACTGTTGTGTCGGTTTGATTTGCTTCTAAAAGCTCATGTGCACGGCACAATAAATATTTTCAAAGTGAATGACAGTGGAAAAGCTCTGCAGAGATAGAAGAAGAAGGACATTCTGTCAGACGTTCCTACAAATCTGAAGGACTGCAGCACACTTTCCACATTATTTGCGCATCCTTTCTTGCCTCTGTGGACAGAATCTTAATAGAAATGCATGTGTATTTGTTTTTCTTTTGCATGTGCTTGTCCACAAGTGTCTGCGTGTTTTTGTGTGTGTGTGTGTGTGTGTGTGTGTGTGTGTGTGTGTGTGTGTGTGTGTGTGTGTGTGTGTGTGTCTGACAGTCTGCCACTGACGTACGTGCCTTCATTCGTTTCAGAGGATTATTCATTTCCTTTTGAAGTGAAGCAGCTCGCCCGGCGAGGAAGGTCTGAAAGGCGGCCGAGAGCAGGCTTTCATACTTCTCCAACAGCAGCTTGTCGTCTGGGGGGTAAATACGTCTGTAGGCCGCAGAGACACAGAGAGAAAAGCAAGGAGAGTGAGCGAGGAGTGGGGAAAGAAAAGGCAAAAAAAGGAGGGTCATCAGTACAGGGAGAAATGGGATGAGAAGGGTGAGAGAAGACATGATGAAATAGAGAAAACAGAGTATGGGTTCACAGAGGAGAGGGTGGGAGTGATTGGGTGGAGGAAAAGAAAGAGAAGAAGGGGATTGGGGTTCAGCAAAAAAGGGATACGAGGTGAGAGGAGGAGTGGTGACAGAAGTGGGAGGGAGGGAGTCGGATAAAAGACAGAAAAAAGGAGGGTAAGAAAGAAGTGAAAAGATAGAAAGATGAAGAAAAAGAGCACGAAGACAGAGAAAAGCAATACAGAGATTGAGAGGGGGAGAGATTGATGAAAGAAGAGGTGATGGAGTGAGGCACAGAGAGGTCGAGGCACAGCGGGTGAGAGTGGTAGATGGACAAAAAAAGAGAGCAAGCAGGAGGGGAAACACAGGCGGAGAGAATTATAAGTATTTCAATGAGAGGTGTGGAATGATGGAGAGACAAATGAAGGTGAGGGGCAGATGGAGGGAGCAAAGAGAAAAGACAGACAGAAGGAAAGAAGTATTAATGGAGACCTTGAGTCAAGAAACTGTACAAACTTCAATCCATTATTTTCACATGGTGTAATACATCAATGCAACTGCTTCACACACACACACACACACTCACTCTCACTGAAAAGTGCACTTCAAAGTGTGTCACAGTCTTTGCTGATGTGCCCATTCACACCTTCTGTATACTTCTGCTTGGTTTTAACAGTGCTCAGTGTTTATCTTAGGCCTGGGAGGATTAGGAAAAAGTATAAAGCTCTGCCTGGTTATCCTCATAATACATCTCCAAATGCTCCCATGTCATTGCCATCAAATCAAAACAATGACACTTAAGCACAGAGAGGAGTGTAAAGGCAGAGAGACATTTACAGACACATTAGAGCCAGACTCCTCTTCAGTTGGCCTTCTGAATGAACATAGTGTTAACTTAAGGGGAGTAAAGTACAGACATCATTTTACTGTCAAACACACAGATATAAAGTTGGCTTCACTGTTTATGCGGCTGCATGACGTTTTCTAAGGCATTACTGTTAGGCTTTTCACACATCAGCATCTGAGCTGTAGATTGTAGTAAGGGTATGATGCCAAGTAAAGTTTAACATTGCCCAATTTCATCATTAAACATTTTACTGCACCCCACCTGCCGTTTAAACACTTAATGCAGACATGCTGTTTTAAGTACATGATTTCTGTATAGTTGAAACGTTGACCCAATTCTATGCATTACTTTAGTTACTGCAGTTCAAATCAGGAAGCTACTGAATGTTAAGAAACCTCACTTTATTACCTTCCCTTGGCACTATACTATAGGACTGTTTTATTTAAACCACCTTTAAGGTACATGGACCAGATTATTGTCTTCCTCCTGAGAGACTCTGAGAGCAGTGAAAAAAATATTCACAACAGTGGGATATACTGAATTTAAATAACAATATATGAAAAGAGACAGAAATTGTCGACTCTCAAAAAGCAACATAAATCAGTGAAAAGTAAAAGGTCTTTTATCGTTTTTACACTTTTATAGTGGGTGTTAACTGCTCCCTCTTTTTGGCACTCACCCTCTCTGAACATATGGACGTTTTATTTGAGGTTGACCCTGCAATGTTGTTTTTAAAATAAAACGTTTGTGCTGAGGCTTATTTTCCTCCCACATGTTCCCAGTTGGGCGATAGAGAAAACTAATATTCATATTCCACTTACATTAGTTTAAAACTATCTCTGTTAAGGTCAAAAGGCTCCTGATTCCAACTGTGTAAGTGATGTTAAATGCACATCAACAATGGCAGTTACCAGCTGGGTTTCCCTCCGGTTCATCAGGGTCTTGGCTTGTCTGTAACTGAGGCAAGTTTCATCTAATCGCTGAATGTAAGTAAGTTCATTACCCAAACTCATCTAATGAGTAGCAGTGTGTTAATCAGACTCCAGTGCCGCGCCGGGACACCATTTGAATGCTAAGAGGTCTTTATTAGGGGCGCTCCAGACAGACCTCAGCCTCTCTGATTGACTGTCTGGCTGCATGTCTGAAAAGAGGAAGGAGGTGACAGCACTTCATGCAGCCTGCCATCTGCATTCTGACTAGCCATTCAGTCAAGTGATGAGTCAAGAAGTCACTTACACTTCAGGTTACAGCAAAAAGCCCAGTGTGTGTCTGTGTGAGCCCATTGTCTAGGTGTGTGTGTGTGTGTGTGTGTGTGTGTGTGTGTGTGTGTGTGTGTGTGTGTGTGTGTGTGTGTGTGTGTGGTGTGTGTGTGTGTGTGTGTGTGTGTGTGTGTGTGTGTGTGTGTGTGTGTGTGTGTGTGTGTGTGTGTGTGTGTGTGTGTGTGTGTGTGTACAACTTAGAGAGAGAAAGAGAAAGCAAGACCTATAAATGTGTGTGCACATGTTGGATACAGAGATACTGTAGAGGCAGGAAGAAAAACCTGAGGGAGTGAAGGAGCGTTAGCAATTTGCAAGGGATAAGCGGCAAATCAAACTCGGTGTTGCTGAGTCATGCTCTAAGATGGATCTGCTCCATCTGAGAGGTGAATATAAAAAATTGTCACACACGATGTCTTCCAAAATCCCAGCTGGAGTCAGAGGATAAAACAGTAGAGGTGTGTGGGGGATAGAAGAGATGGGGAAAGGCTTGCAGTAGGCAGGCATATTTACATATACATATAAAGTATACATGGTCATTTGAATTTCCGAATTGCACTGCGTTTAAGGGAGTATCCATTTATACCTCCACATAACACACTCTGTTTTCCTTTCTCCCTTTCCATTTAACATATTCTCTCAGTCTTAATTCTTCCACCTCGTGCTCTTTTAAAACAGTGGGTGTTCTCTTTTGTTTGTTCTCTCTGCAGCTCCATTATGTATTCTCCTGGGAGCGTGGCACTCTGCAGATGACCCCCTAAATGTAAGTGGAGATGGTACCAGAATACTGGGTGGGGTTCCTGAAGGGAGGGCCCCCTCTGCCCGGCGGGTTTGCCTCTTCCTTACCTGTAGTTCCCCAGATGTTGCTTTTCATGCTCTTCCCTAGAGATCTGCTTGCGGACCTGTGCCAGTCTCTCTTTCTAAAAAAATAGGAGAAACAAAATATATTTCTCAGGTTCACTGCCTTCTGACCTTATCCTGTAATAGGAATACAGAAAGAATGATGGAGAAAGATGAGAAAACAACGGTCTCAAATGCCTCATAATTAAGAGGCATTTGTCCATATAGTCTGTAATTGTAATGTTTAGAAGATATAATGGTGGAGCTCAGTCAGACAATTGAGTATAAAACAAAGAGGTTTTCACTCCGATTATAGGTTCTGAGCAATATGTGAGTTAAATACACCTGAACCTGGTCTTGCACGTCAGCCATAACAGCACTCAAACACGAGGTGGTCCCCCTTTCAAAGTAGTGCCTGTACACCCTCTTTTCTTATGCCACTGATTACTGTCATGGCTTATCAAAAGGCTAATCAAAGAGCGCACAAAGCGTATGTACCAGTAATTGCCACTTTCCCCCTATATATATATACATATATATGTGAGAAAAGCTCCCTGACTTCATTTCAAAGAGAACATAATTCAATGGTATGCTTATCTAAGAAAACTTTGACGCTTTTGATCAAATCAAATCAAATCAAGTTTTATTTATATAGCACATTTAAAAGCGATTTTTGGTCGAGCCAAAGTGCTGTACATGTAATAAAAACACTTTACTACAATCACAATAAAAGACAATAATTTACAACAGAAATATAAAAAACTAAAACACAGGGAATAGTCAGGTGTCATTCTCCGCTCTGACTAGAAGGCCAGAGAGAAGACTCTTTTGATGTAGAGTAAGAAGTAAGAAACTGAATTTCTGCTCCAGCTTTTCTTCTTGTTTAAATCCTGTGCAGAACACAAACCTATAGATTGTTGGGTTGTTTACTGAAGTAACACATCGTATGAAATAAGAATTTCTAATTTGTGCTTTTTTACAAACAGGTTGATGTGCTAACTAAATGTATCTGTTGATATCTATGAGCATTTATCTGATGATTGCCTGTACCTGCATTTCTTTTTGTAGTTAGCTACATTTTAAGGGTCATGTTTCTTTACCACACCCTTAAGAGCCTTTAATGGAGTAGGGTTGTCTCCCACATGACTTGAAAATTAGAAAAACCTCAATTAAGTGTTAGTGCATAATATAAAGCATTATCTAGCTAAAGGGGGAAAAAAACCTCTCTCAATGATGATGTTACAATCTGCGTTGTGATATCCAAAGTTAACGCCTTTATTTATGTGACTTCTTAAGCACATTTAGATATGAAAATAACGAGCTTTGTACATGTCTTACTTTTATCTAACGATTAAACAGCAACTCCAAAGCTCATTAGAAGGCTCTCTGAGGCTCACCAGTGAACCAGATGCTGTAGTTATAATAATATGATATAAATAATGTGTCTGTGCCTCACCAGCTCCTCTCTCCTGCGCTCCAGCGTGTGCCGTTGTTTCTCCCAGTCTGAGGAAGCAGCTGAGAGTTTCTTCACGGAGCCGTGTCCATAGAGCCGGCGCTGAGCCTCTGCTTTCTGCTGGGCCAGGTTGCGTTTCTTATCACTGGCTCTGGAACAACATATCAAAAGTTAAGATTCACAAGAGTGCAGATTTGAGTACGAAAAAAAAGAGCACATTATCTGAGAATTCAATTTTTTTCAATAATAGCTCTGACAACTGTGTTTTCCAATAACACTTTGCATCTTCGATTATTTTTCTTGACAGTTTTAGCTGCTGTTGCTGAGAAATAAATGTACTTTGCACCATCGACTTAAACCGTTTAGATGCTCTTTATCTTTCTCATTTCTGTTTCATAACCGCACACAGTAATAGTTATTTCGGGAAACACAAGACTTATTTTATCGCTACATAGCTCTCAGTTGAAAACAGATGTTATCTGCAGAAAAAGGTTTTCATGAATGCTGTAAACAAAGAAGAAAGAAGAAAGAAAATCCCTCACAAAACATTTAACAATACAGAGATAAAGATAGAGCCCAGACACAAACAAAGTGACAACCACAAGATGAACAGGACCAGACAGCTAATTCTGAACAAGTGGGCCATTGCGGTCTGGAGAAAGGGCAATTCATTTTAGTCAATCGCTGGCCCTTTAAATTGGATATTGAGTGCTGTTGGGGGGCTGAGGTTTATCAATGTCCATGCCCAGCCGGGTCTGAATTGATCCCACGTTGATACAGTTGGGGTTGTGAGCCGACCCTACCTCTACACACCACCAACCCCTCCCTTTGGGGAGCAAAGCCATTACTATATAAGGAAAAGTGAGCGAGGTAGAACAAAACCCTCATTCACTCCAGCATGAACATAAGCAGTTTGTCCAGTGGAAAAAGCTCCCCGCCGCCTTTCAAGCCCTCCTACGATTTATTTGTCAGGAAATAATCAAATCTAGGCTTTTAATCTGTGGGAACACAGCAAACATCAGCCATGAAACAAATCATTTTGATAAGAGATTTGTTTGTGTCGACTGAGGCTGAGCAGGAGGACGGAGTGAGTTTTTGTGTTGGATGGCTGCACCACGCTCCACACTTGGCCAAACTAGATCTCTGCTGCGTGTAATTGATCCATTGATGTGTGCGTTTGTGTGTGCTCTACATTTGTGTGCTGCATTTGTGCATGTGTGTCACTGGAGTTGAGACTATATTTGGAGCAGTAAGCACAAAGAGAGAGAGACAAAAAGAGAGCAGAGAGGTCTAGAGGTCTGGTGTACGATGATCAATCAGTGGACAGGCTCGCTGTAGCCAGGGGACAGAAAAGCATGCCAGCAAACACACACGCACACACAAACACAACGTACACAAATAAATACATGACACAACAAATATGACAATGTGCATAACCTAAACAGGCAAATAAATACAAAGCAAAGTGAAAAAAGCAAAACAGTAACCTTATATTAATAAATACAGTAAACTTTGAAATACAGATAACACAACTCACTGTTATCCTGTTCCTATCTCACACACACACACACACGCACACGCACACGCACACGCACACGCACACGCACACAAACACAAACACAAACACACACACACACACACACACACACACACACACACACACACACACACACACACACACACGTCTGATTGAAGGGTGCACAGTAGAAGCTTAGTTTTGTATCTTGGCATTGTTTTTGTCCATAGCTCAAAGCTGCTGTTAGTCTCTGAATAATGTCACTGCTTTGCCATCAGTCTAAAAACAAAGCAGGAAGAAAGTCGAATTGTTCTGTGCATTAAAACGTAATTCAAAAGTTTTCAGCGTTGGTAAATAAAGAAAACTGGACGAATCAATCAAATTGTTTTAACCTTTACAGCCCTGTAGAATAACATTTGATGTGAGCTTTGCTTCTCTCTGCACATTAAACTTAACGGGCCACACAATTCATGTGTGTCTATCTGCAATCATGTGTCACGCGTGTGTGTGACAGTGGTGGAGAATATTACCGAATGTTGAGGAGTTTCAGAGCATCGAGCAGTACCCCTTTCTTCACATCGTAATCAATCTTCTGATCGGTCCCAAAGCTCGGAGCTCGATTGATCTGCCAGAGAGGAGAGAACAGAAACATTCAGAGAATATTCAGGTTTTTTTTTTTCTACTTCATCTAATTTTTGTTCTTTCTTCTCAATTCAGCAGACAGAAATGCTATGCAATTACAGGAGTGGGTTTAGGGTATCTTTGGAAAAAAGAGCACTGTTCACACAAGAAGGAGAGGAAAGAGTAGAGAGATGGAAAGGACGTTTTTTTCTCTTTGAAGGACACTTTGAAACTCTTAGCCTTTGGCTGGGAATAAATCCTGTCTGACATTGATGTGTGTTGGGGGGCCTGAAGAAGAGCTCTTGTGTGTATGAGTGCTCGCATATGAACAGATTGTGTAGGGTAAACTGTCACTAGATTTGTGACCCTGCTAGCCTTAGCAAGCAGTCCATGACTGTAACTTGAGTATGCCGGGCACTGCGACACCTATCCTTACAACTGCCACAAATAATCTCTTTGTGAGCATTAGTGAATTACCAGCGCTCAACTCAATCCCATCATATAAAAATCAAGAGCGCTCAGAGAGTCAACTGAGCGAGAACAGAATAAGCCACCTGTGATTTTAGATACAAAAGCCAGTATCACCAAGGGAAAAATTCAAGAGCAGCTTTACCTTTCTTAACAGAACAATTTCCAGCACCGGTGCAAGGTATTCAGATAGCAGTTATTATACCTGACACAACAAATCAAATGTTTCCTTTTTACTCTTTGTTATGTTCCCAAGGTAAAAAAGAGATTGTGCGAGACTACAAAAGGACCAGCAAATGGAGAGCGGTGCGGAAGGAGGGTGAACGGACTGGCAACCGTGAATGGTGTCTTCCTAAGAGCTGTCCAGATGACAATGCAACAGATGCACACTGGAAGGCTGGCTGTGGTTAGTAAGCCTTGATTTTTGAGATAAGTCAGGTTTCCTTTTAATGATTTTTTTATGTGGGAACACCAGTATTGTTGGCACCTTTTAGATTTGCAATATTTTCATAAATGTAGGTATTTAAAAATGTGATTTAGAATATATGTGTTATAATTGTTAACAAATAATTATTTGAAATGTATAGTTGATATATAGAGGTTATTATCAAGTGGAAATTAGCATTTGTTAACTGACAAAGACATGCTGTGTCTCACTCTGCAGTGTATAGAGTTCACTACTGCTGTATTTTGACATAAAATGTCTGCATCCGTTGATGAAAATCAATCATTTTCAATCAAATAAAAATCACTGCTAATAGTGTTCCAGCTGCAGCTGGATAGTCAGTAAGATTTGGGTCGGATACATTATTTTCTTCCTAGCTTTCTTTAGAAAAGGGCAGTTGGATAAAGATATACTCATCAAAGCAGCACGGCAGCCAATCACACGTCTTGATTTCAATAACAGAGAAATACTGAGACAATCTGAGCTTTTTGAGCATATTATAGATTTTTTCTATCCACCAATCAGGAACTTAGGTGAAGAATAGTGAAAGAGGCTAATCGGCTTGGTGTTAAAAATCAAGCTATTTGCAACCATAAAGATATTTGGGCTGAAAATAAGCAACAAAAGCTCCTTTACAGAGATGTGCAAAGCACCTCAAAGGTTGGGGGGGCTTGGCTCTCAGAATCTCCATCCCTCTTTCTCTTCCTCTCCTCTGAACTAGCCATTACTAATTCCAACCCAAAGGTGCTTATTGCTGTGAGGCAGATTTGGGAACCGTGCTCTACGATAATATTTACATCACAACCAGGCTCCAAGGAACGGCTGCTCTCTACATCAAGGGCTAAATTGTCCTTCAGTCAGAAACCTAAACTCCCACAATATGAATACGATTGTGCAAGGATGCTTTTATGTTGAATTGCATGTAGATAAGCATAGGTGAATAAAAGTAATCAAAGATATTTAAACATATACCGCACTGTAGCTGTCTATATTAACCTTAAGATACTGTATAACTTTCTCTGAAGTGGTTGCTCCACTCTTCAACTAGTGAATAGATCCAAAAATGCCACAAGTAAGCTATGGAGTCTGCACCAGCATGACATGGGTCTGAATGGCCCTGCCTTTGTAAATGTGCGCGTTCACCCACATGTGCGTTTTTCTATCCAGCAACCATTTATCAGAAGGAGGGTGGGTGGATGATGAATGTCTACCAGTGCAAAGAGGAAAAAAAGACCTTATCAAACTCTTTCACTCAATAGAAAGAAGTCTACAATACATTCCTCTGTGTGCGGAGAAGGACAGAGCTCCACTTCAACCTACAGTACCTTACCTAAGGAAAAGAAAAAACACCACAAAAGGAAAAGAGTGAAGAGGTCTGTTTTCATTTAGAGCACTCCTTCGATATGACAGCCACGATGAAAAGAGTATGGCTTTAGAGCGCTGTAGCCTATAGGTAAAAGCCAGACTGGCAGTGATCCTGGCGACGGTTGTCTCGTTACTTGTTTTCATTTCTTAGTTTGATTTGTGGTGTCAAGCTGTCACAGAGAAGACTGGCATTGCAGGACTCGCTGTCTCTCTTTGCTCTCCTTCAATCTTTCCTCTCTCCTACTCTCTGCCTGTCACCCTCTCCCTCTGGTTAGTTTCTTTTCCCACTCTGTTTCTTCCAGTCTCTCAACCTATTTTCTGTCTGGTCACTCACCCCCACCCCTCCTCTGCTAGCCAGCCCTCACTCTCTGGTCGTTACCTTTCTTATTCATTTCTTTCTCCATGTTGCTGTGTTCTCCTTTTCCTCTCTGGCAGAGGAAGTTGGACCAGTCTGGTCCTAATGAACCCCTGCAGGCTCCCCAAACCCCCCCTCTGATTTCCTTAAGTGACTCTGGCAGGGTCTTAAAGGAGCCCTCGGTTGCTTCAAGCCGCATTCAATAAAAATGTCAGATGAAAAGATTAGAAAGTCCTTTTTACCTATGTTTTGATTCGATTCAGCATCAGAATCACATCAATGTCTTCCAAAAATCACTTGATTTAACATTAGAATCAGCATGAATGAGAGGAACATATCAGTCAGTAATTTCTCCCAAGATAGGTTTATACTCATCTGATCACCCAGTTAAACATACACAGTTCAGAGGGTGAGCTGTAAATCATAAACATACCCTATAAAGAACATGTAACTTTTTATTTTCTGCACCTGGAGGTGTGTGTCTGAGACACATAAGAAACCCCCTTATAAAACTAAATCAAGCTTCTGGTCCATTTATTGTAAAACTGTCTGTGAAATGCAATCCTGTCTACCGATCTTTATTGCAGGTTCTTAAGGAAAAAACATAAGTGAAGGTGCAACCAGCTTATTCTGCATGCTTTTTTTGAGTTGATATAGTTGATTATAGCCATAGTAGTTCATATTTGTAAAACAAAAAGCATTTAATGTTGGCCCGTCCTTCCCGACTCAACAAACAAGAGAGTGTTGGCGAGAATAAAGCAGTTAATCAGAGAAATGAAATGTTAATTCTTGATTGTTTTACAACCGTTATGTTCTAAAGCAAAAACAATAAACGGTACCGTGCTTCTGTATTAGATACCAGGAGGCAGGACAAAGTGGCAGGATTTAACGGCCTGGGAATGAGAACGGGCTGTACACCGTGCTAGGGAACGCTTTTTACCCCCTGTGTTGGATGCAGCCTCGTATGTTTGTCCCTCGTAGTGGGGGTGTATTGCTCAAGGAGCGTTAATAAGCGGCAAAATCAAACGCTAACAATACCACTTTTATTAACCTAGCCAAAGGCCATTCTTTACACCAAGAGATAATTTATTTTGGTTCATACTATGGTATGGGAATAACTCAGATCCCAATACATCTAACAATTCATTGTTAACACTTTAATTATGAATAAACCCAGTAAAAAGTTATTTGCAATGATCACACGTTTTACTCCAAATGTAGTGGGCATCCAACAGTTTGCGCCTGTGGCCTCTGCTGTGTCACAGCGACCCTAATAACATAGCAACAGAAATGGATAAACAACAATCAGCTGCTTTCTTTCCACAACAAATTGCTTCCCCCGATCGACATCCATTCTGTGTCTGGAATACTCGTAAAACAAGTGCAGTGGCTGCTCATGATTAATCGGTTCAGAAAAACGACCCCCTCTTATTATTCCTGGCAGAGTGTAAACAACCACTGCTTTGACAAGCCTCCCATTCTGCCCCGCACACTCGAGGGTATCGGCACAGTTCAACCGCTGTCAGAATGGAGTGTTTGTTGCCGCACAATGGTGGAATGAGAAAGCGAGGCAGAGAGGGAGAGCATGAGAAGCAGAGCGACAGAAAGACAGACAGCTGGCCGCCATGTTAAGTCGCTCTCTTGTTTCAGCCGTCTTATCAATCACTGTTTTGTTCTTTTTTTTTTGGCGTTTTTAGTGATCCAGTCAGACACAGGGAAACTCTAGCTGAGCATGCTGAGCCGCTGGTAAAGGTCCTGGGAGTGAGCGGGCCAACGCTTAGCTCAGCCACCAGTCAGCCTGACCTGCTGACTGTCTGGCTGGCAGGGAGCAGGAAGGGTTGCTTTTGTTGTTGCTATTTATTTTTTTCTAAGACACACAGAGATACAATTTGACACAGCCACACAAAGTAAAAGACGCTCCGAAGGTGGACAAGATGTGTAAAAGTGAACAGAGATATGCAGCTGGACTCAAACACACACACGGAATTCCCAACTTAGTACCCACAAACGTTAGAATATATCAACAAAACACACCTCCGGTCTGAGACAGACAGGCATAAATATGCAAGGGTATATATATCTCCCTTTAATGTCACTCACACACTGAACCACCACACACACTACAGTTCCATATGTCACTCATAAACAACCGACATATATCTTCAATCACACACACACACTCAAACACAGTGACACACACACAATCACTGGTGCTGCCAAACATGGCTGATGATAAATGACTAAATGTTGGGGGGTGTTTTCAACTGCCCCACATACGAGGCCTGTGCGCTCCTAATTTGATACTTATTCCATGAAATAGTCATGTTGGGGGAAAATGGATGTGGATGGAGACAGACAGTCCCATACATCA